ACCATCTACAAGTTGTTAATATACAGGACAACGCAACACTCATTCTCACAAAAAAAAGGAAATCTAAATAATAATCCATAGCAATGATAATCAACACTTCATTAGTTAAAGCATCCAAATTAGGATGCACTAATATTTTTTTTCCCAGAATTGAGAATGAAAGTAAGCTGAAAATTTATTAACACCTAATAGGTAGACCCTTATAAAAAAATTAGGATAATAATTCTATGGAGCACAAACTCTGTGAATAAAGGAGATTCTCCAAACATAGTGTTTCAGTTTTCATGCCAATGATTCAAAACAAACTCATTCCAACCTTCCATGAGAATTATATTATCAAGCAAACTACAGATATAAAATAAAAAACACAAGTGAATTCGAAAAAGTTAGTTGGGCTTAAAGAATTAACACAGGGCCAAGTAAAGGAAAGACCACAAGAGTTACAACATTCAAGGAATATATGTAGTATGTACCATATACAGCTTTATTGCCATAATGTTTAGTATCGAACCCCAACTAATTGGGCTAAGTTTCTATTAAATTGAGATAAACAAATTGTCTCCAATTTTTAAACACATCATGAACAAGCCAACTGAATATATATTGACATATACCTCTTTTTTGTAGACATCTAACATCTTGGAATGAATTTCCACAAGAGTCTGGATGTAAAAGCGTCTACTTTCTTGGTTCTGCAAGAGAGAGTTGAAATTTGAATTAAGCCGAATTAAGACAATGCTGGGAAAAAGAAGCAAATTGAAAATCGAGAGAAAATGAAGGAAAGAAAAAGTTCAAGAGTTGAGTAGGAGTGTAGGACATAAGCTACAACCTGCAGGGCCTGTACAAGTGAAAATAACATCAGGCAGCTATTCGCAGTTTCTTTTACGGAAAAAAAAAGGTTCAAAAATGATGATGGTGAACCTCGTTATAACACATAAGTTTGTTGTCCATGGGTGACTGGGATGTTCACGTGCACAATGTTTTAACAAGTAGAAGTACGAGTCACTTAACTTGGATAACGAGTCCTACAGGAATTTTCCATTCGAACTCACACGATCTACAAGTTCATTGAAAATGGGAGCTATTTGGCAAGCTTGTTTCCAATACATTCAGGAAATGGCATGGGCAACAAAGAAAACGGCGCATGAACCATGCCCACACAAGGCACTCTTCCTGATCTCTGCAAGTTTGACATGCTGGAAACTGAATGTCAACACTATAAATTCAATTCATCACCATACATCAAAAGATTTTCATTTCAATCAAATGTTTATAACATTTAGTTCGAAAATTCATCATTGCTATGAAACAAATCAAATTTTGCATCAGGGTAAGTATTGATAAAACTTCTGGAAAGAAAGGCATATTATCAAATCCGTGTTTTACCATTTAGTTCTAACATTCACCATCTTTCTTTGGGTAACATTCATCAAAATAGTAGACACTGTAAATCAAAAAGGATATTGTACATAATATAAATCCTACTTTACTCACATTTATATTGATCATAAAAATTTAAACAAGACAATATACCACAGAAACTGATTTTTTTTTTCAATTTTATAAAAGCAGAAAAGAATTGAAATACATGAATTTTATATTTCATTTCCGTTAATTTCACTGATGGCGCACTACAAAGTGTGGCCTGACGAAACAAACTAAAGTTCAGAGGCCATAAGTAAAATTAACTCTATTCAATTATATACTCTAAACTGACCTGTGAATTCGTGTCTCCAACAAGAAGTCCAACAAGAAGCCCGTGAAGGGAACTCCATAAGAGGGCGTCATATTCCATATTCTAAAGCAATTGAGGATCGATTTTGGGAGGATCAAATGCAAGGCTTGTAGAATTTTCCTGTTGGGTCTCCATTCGTTCAACTCCTGTGCATTTCATAGCCTAGGGCACTGTGAAATTCTCTGGCAAAGAGGTACCGCTAAGGGCGGTGACTTCGTGTCTCACAGAGACACCGGCCGTGTCTCGCTGGTGGACCGCAGCGGTGCCTCCGGGTCTCGCATTGGTGTCTCTGTGCGGACCGCAACAGAGCCACCACGCCGCGGTTGTCGGCGACAAAATTTAGGGCGGACATCGGTTGAAATCACAAAAATTCTAGGGTTTGGTTTGGAGCTCGCATGAGAAGAGGAAGAGAAGAAATGACCGTGTGGACTGAAGTCTGAAAAGTAGGGGAAAAAAAAATCCAAGCCAAAATGACGTCGTTTTGGACGAGAGTTTCTACAGTGCTTTGAATCTCACTCTTTTTATATATGTAGGATACATGATCTTTGTTTGTCTGGTATATAATTTTAAGAAAAATGCTACTTGTACACAATTTGTTACACAATTCTCTTACATGTGTGGAGGGGTCCACAACATGACATGAGATTTTTTTTATGGACAAACGTGAATACTATAGATTAAAATTAGAAACTTGCTACACTTACGCACCTTGGTATATAACACTCTCACATGTGTGTTGTGTACCAAAGTGCATAAGTGTAGCAAGTTTCTAATTTTAATCTATATTATTCATGTGAACCCCACACATATATATAGGAGGGTTGTGTACCAAAATATGTAAGTGTAGCAAGTTTCTAATTTTAATCTATATTATTCACGTTTACCCATAAAAAAAAAAAAAACAAAAAAACCTCATGTCTCCATTTTCTCTCGTCCTTCCACGACAGCAACACTCCCACTTCATACTATCCTCAACGTCAATCCTTAACAAACAAAAGCATCAAATTTCTCAGGCCAAACACAAGATCTACCGAAATCTTTATCGAGAATTATTGACAATATGGTGGTGACGGACAAGTACATTGTGGGGACTTTTCTTGCTTCTCTTTTTGGATCTTTTCTTCTCTATATTTTACTCTTTAAAACTACCAAATCCCAAAAGCAAAAGGACCATGAAGAAGAACGTGAAATGAGTAGGGGTGGCTACCAGATTCGAAGCGACCTGACTGGTGGTGAACGCCGGAACGACGAAGGATACGACCCGGATGTTATTATCGTCGGCGCGGGTGTTGCTGGTGCTGCTCTAGCTTACACTCTGGGCAAGGTCAGGTTTTTGTTTTCTTCTTCTTCTTCTTCTTTTTTAATTCTATTTTAATGGAATTGTTTCTTGAATTTTTATTGTTGAGTTGTCAAATAGTTGTTCAGAAATAACCCAGATTTTTTCCCTCGAATTGGGAATTTGTTTTTACCTTTAAAGACCAGTGAAAAGGAAAGAAGAAAGGAAAAATATTTTATCTGATAGAGTTCAATTTTTCTTTATAAATTCTATTATTATAGTTATTCGTTTGTCAGTTGGGTGTAAGAGAATATGATAAAGATTTGTTGTTTATTATACTGTCGTGGGGTTAGTTCTATGAAATATATGGTTTTGGATATAGGCAGTGACAGATTACCATTGTTGGATTGAGAGGATGATATCTGCTGTTACTTTTTAATCTTTTTTTTTCCTGATTTTGTTTGTGTTCTGTATATGATACTACTTTCTCATCAGCTCATTAGAATGAATAAATTGCACAAATGTTTATTTTTCATAATTCTCGTTTCCGGCTCTTAATTGATGCTTAGTAGTGGGTAGCATGTTTTTAATCAATAGCTTTTTAAGCAAGTTAATCAAAGTTTAAATCCTAGCCTGTGGAGAATCGGCTTGCTCCTATTTTATTTTACAGTGAATGAAATCAAGCGACACGATTGGAATAGGAAAATATGGTAACTTTTCCGAGAAGTCTATGCAGGAAATTTATTTGCTTAAGATTCCATGAACTGTTTAATCAATTGTTTCCTCATAAATGAAAAAGTCAGTAAGCTATAATTTGTTTTTTCACTAATATTGAAGGATGGACGACGAGTGCATGTGATCGAAAGAGATTTATCCGAGCCGGACAGAATTGTTGGCGAATTACTACAACCAGGTGGATATCTCAAATTGATCGAGTTGGGCCTCGAAGGTAATCTTGAAGTTCACCTTGATATTATTTGTTTTCCTTTGGATGTCAGCCAAGTATTGATTTTAGGAACAATGGCACAAAATATAATACAATAAAAGTGAACTTACCTTGTCAGAAGACGGGGAATACACAAAAAACCTTAAACGAACTACTCTCCTCATCGCTATACGTCGAGTGTAATGTTTCTTTGGCTCCTAGTCCCTTTCAGATTCGCTACTTGAAGGAAATTGTATAAATTTCCCAAAATTCGAGAAATCCATAGCTTCATCATTGTCTCCTTGAATGAATTCATTAACGTCCCTGGCATTGGACAATATTAAAGAACAAAAAGAAGCTAAAATCTTGTATGCTATATTGTAGAGTCCCATTTAAAAGAAACATACCTTCATACTTTTCTGCTATGAATTACAGTTCGCAATTTGATTGCAGATTGTGTTGAGAATATTGACTCCCAGAGGGTGGTTGGATATGCCCTTTTCAAGGATGGAAAATACACTGAACTTTCCTATCCCTTGGAGAAGTTTCACTCAGATGTGGCTGGGAGAAGCTTTCATAATGGGCGTTTCATACAGATGATGAGAGAGAAAGCAGCGACTCTTCCCAAGTATACTTTGTTGCCCATTTTCTTATGTTTGTAATCTTAAATCTTTCAAAATTTTGCCCCTTTTTGGATTCTGATTTCCTTTAGCTGTCCATTTGGAAATCCAGCTAAATTAAGCCCAGTAGTTGCTATTGTTTTTTAATTTTTTCTGAAGCACATTTCACAATTTGATATTCTTTGTGTTCATGCGATTCTTTTGAGTGTTTAACTTGTACCTGCCCCTCCTAATACTGCTTTCTCCGTCCTCAATAGTGTGAAGCTCGAGCAAGGTACTGTAACATCTCTACTCGAGGAAAATGGAACAATAAAAGGAGTGCAGTACAAAACTAAAGCCAGTCTGGAGCTTAAAGCATATGCTCCTCTTACTATAGTCTGTGATGGTTGCTTTTCGAATTTGCGCCGTTCTCTTTGCAGCCCTAAGGTAAAACCCAAAGCTCTAGATTGTAGACAACTTAACCAGTTTCTCTGGTTTGTACACTTGATTGATTGTTTGATTGAACTTAAAATTGATTCTCACTGAAGGAAGGAAATCTGACCGCTTTACAGGTCGATATTCCCTCCTGTTTCGTTGGTTTGGTATTGGAGAACTGTCAACTTCCATTTCCAAACCATGGGCATGTTATTCTAGCAGATCCTTCACCAATCCTGTTTTATCCAATCAGTAGCACCGAAATTCGATGCTTAGTTGATGTACCTGGTCGAAAGCTTCCGTCTCTGGCTAATGGTGAAATGGCAAATTATTTGAAAACAGTTGTAGCTCCCCAGGTATGTATGGTTTTCATTGCATGATAGGAGTCTCTTGATAATAAAAATACCCCGATTTTGTTAATGAGATGTTTCTAAAAAATTTGTCTTGGTCTCTTTATTGTCTATAACATGTGAAGCATGGATACAAAATTCAAGAATGTGTAGGACACATACGCATCTATTACATTAACAAATTGCCTATCTTTCATCTCGGGAGAAGTATGATCGGTAGGATCTAATTCAACCCCAGCCTCTCTTAAGATAACAACACAGCCCCTACATTCAAACCCCACCTTTCTTACCACTTCCAGTTCAATTCTTTTCGGCACTCGAATAGAACAAACTACTCAGCTTCTTATTATTTATGGGTAATTCTAGAAATGCCCTTTAATACCTTCTTAAAACCATCTTGGGCACAACTAGTAAATTCCAAAATCACTGTTATTCATGCATCTTTATTTATGCGTGTGATATTTTTATTGTCAACTTGTTTTTCAATATTATCTATATCCTTTGTAGCTTTGATTTTGAATTGTGGAGGGGAATTTGAATACGAGTGACTATTTGTGCTATTTATTATCACTAGTGGTAGGGGTGTAAGCGGTCTGGTTTTACCGATTTTTGACAAATTTTCAAATCAAACTGATTCAACCGGTTTGAGAAAAACTCAAACCTAAACGTAACGGTTTGGTTCGGTTTTAAACCACCGATTTCGCGTATATTTTTTTGCCTGTCTAGTGTCTACTTTTATGCCATTAATTCAATATATATTTATATCTTACTGGCAATAAATTTAAAATAAACTAAATATATCTACTATAAATTTAAATACCAACAAAATCAAAGTAAAATCACAATAAATTTAAATCA